ATTTATGTCTCTGTATTGAATTCTATTTTTAAAAATATTTTATTTTTATTTTATGTGTATGCATGTATTGCCTGCATGTTGGTAAGTACACCTGTGTCATGCAATGCCTGTGGAGGACAGAAGAGACTGTCGGATCCCCTGGAACTACAGTGACAGACAGTTGTTAGCTGCCATGTAGGTGCTGGGATTTGAACCCGGGTCTTCTGCAAGAACAGTCAGTGTTCTTAAGCACTGAGCCATCTCTCCAGCCCTGAATTCTATTTTTGTATCCTGAGTTGTCATCCTCATTTCACTTAACTGCTTGTTTGTGCTTCCTTTGTCTTTCAATGTTTCTTCACACTTTCTTCGAGTACCTTGAACATACTTACAATGGCTATTCTGAGTTCATTGTCTTGTGTGTCATCTGAGTTGCTTTCCTCAAGGCACGTTACTGTGGGAACATTCATTTTTTGGAGTTGACATATTGTCTTAATATTTTTGTGTTATTTGTGATTTTTGCAGTGGGATCTGGGCATCTGGAATTAGATTGTGGTTGTGTCTTTTGGTCTGGATGCCTGTTCCACCTTTGTTGAATTTATATTTACTGTTACACCAAGTTGGCAGGTTTTGGATCAATTAGGTAGCTTAATCTCTGGGATACTTGGTGGTGATGTGTGATTGGGATATGGGAAGTGATTTCGGCTCAGCTATGACAAGGTGTACCTTCTGACCACATGAAGGAGCTCTGTAGAGTTAGCAGGTTTTTGCTGCAGTTCCAGAGTCCAAGTTGATGTGCCTGATTGAGCTGGAGGAGAGGGTTAACAGTGGCGCATATAGGCACTTAGCACAGCTAGTAGTGTTAGCATCCCAGGAGATAGAGGGAAGGCTTCCTTGGATCGCACTATGGGCTTAGACACAGATCCTCAGGTGACAGGGTGGAGACACTTGGAGTGGCAGGGATTGGGATAGTGCTACCTGGGGAATGCAGGGACGGCTGACTCTGAAGGTCCTCAGATGGCAGTGATTTGGGTTCATGGGGGGTGGGGCAGTGTCACCTGTGAGATTCAGGCATGGTTTGGTACATAGATGCTCAGAGGGTTGTGGCGTGGGGTCTCAGGGGTAAGTGATGGGATGGGTGTTCCTAGCTGTGAGAGGCACATAATCACTCAGATCCTTATTGAATTCTTAATAAGCACATTTTAGTTTGTTCTTTAATGTTTGAAAAAGTTCAAAAAGTTTTGATAATAAGGAAATTTTGTTTTGAAAACTTGGTGGCACTGCAAACTTAGCAACGGGCTGTTTTGAGCCGTTTTTTCATGAGAATATATGAAAAATGGAGAAGGTATCAATTTGCTGACTACTCAGTGAAATATTACGGTATTGCGTATTTACGCATTTTTTGTACTTACATGGTCAGTATCTTGTCTGAAGATTAAAAAATACACGTTTAGAATATGTTTTGAGAACATTAAGTATATTTAATGCTTAATGTATGCCAACTCTTTATATAGAAGCTTTCTTCACTCCTTCCTCTCACAAAATGCTTGTTATTAAGCGTGTTTGAAAGATGAACTGGTGCTGGTAAAGATAGCTCAGCAGTTAAGAGCACTGGCTCCTCTTGCAAAGTACCTGGGTTCAGTCCCCAGTGCCCACAAGGTGGCTAACAACTCTCTGTAACTCCAGTTCTGGGAGATCCAATGCCCTCTTCTGATCTCCATGGACATTGCATGACACTAGTGCACTTACATGCAGTCAGAACACTGAACACTCATACACATTAAATAAAATTAATAAATAAAAATATTTTAATAAAGGAAGATGAGCTGAGGTTTAGTAGCTGAAGGGTACTTGAGGTCATGGAAACTGTAACATGCAGAGTTAAGAATTTGAGTCTAAATCTGAAGCCAAAGCTATACTTTCTCAACCATATTAAGGTGAGCCCCAAGAGGAATATAATTCTAGATTTAGATTCATATTTAATGTGATAATTTTTGTAAAGATATGATAAATTAATAAGAATAAAAGTGATGAAATTTTAGCAGAATGTCAGTTAAAAAAAAAAAAACAACAGCGAAATGAGTGGCTGGAAAGATGGCTCAGCAGTTAATAGCACTGGTTGCTCTTGCATAGGATCCAGGTTCAGTTCCCAGAACCCACATGATGCCTAACACCTGCCCATAACTCCAGTTCCAAGGGACTACAGCACCCTCTTCTGACCTCCACAGGCATTGCATAACATGGTGCGCTTACATACATGCAGGTGATAGATTCATACATATAAAAGAGAAATAAAATGCTGGGCATGGTGGCACATGCATTTAATCCCAGCACTCGGGAAACGGATCTCTGTGAATTCAAGGCCAGCCTGGTTTACATAGTGAGTTCCAAGACAGCTGGGGCTACAGGGAGACCCTGTCTCAAAAAGACCAAAAACAAAACAAAATAAAAAAAAAAAAAAAAAAAAAAAAAAAAAAAAAAAAAAAAAAAAAAAAAAAAAAAAAAAACCAACCCAAAATGAGGGACTTAGTGGTTAAAAGCATGTAGTGCTCTTGCAAAGGACCTGAGTTTGGTTCCCAGCACTCACGTCAGGCTGCTCATAATCACCTGTAAATCTGGCTACAGTGGAGCTCCAATGCCTTTGGCCTCCTGAGGGACCTGCACTTGCATGCACATAACCACCCCACATACATGTAATTTAAAAAATAGTAAAAATAAAGGAAATGATAAAGTAGTAAATTCACAGTTTAGACTGGGAAACATGCTTATGATGTTGTTTATTGACATCTGTTACACCACCACCTCAAATATGTCCATGTAATGTGATGTTAAGTACCTCTAGTGTGTGCTTAAATGCCAGGGAGAAGACCAGAAGGATGGCCACCAAATGTTCGTTAGCTCTAGCTGCTTTATTCTTTCTTTCCTTTCTATACCTTTTTATATTTCTCCCAGTGGTCTCTCACATTTATGCAGAATTTACAAAGGATATTTAAATTCCAGGTATGGATATTTTATTTTTTCTGTTTTTACTTCCCCCTTTTGCTATCAAACTTTTAAAAGTAGATTGCAAGTTGAGAAGAATTGATTAATTAATTCTGAATGGTCAAAGTTTCAACGTGCATTCTATTCTTGTTCCAGTATTTTAAGTAATATATTTTAATAAATAAATTAAGATCTAACTAAAATGTTATTAAATGTTCCTATAAATCTTTTTATTTTAATTTAATTACCACATTTTAAGTACCTACTTTATTTTTTCTTTGGTCATTTTGAAACAGGGTCTCCCTGTAACCCCAGATAACCTGGAACTTCCTATGTAGACCAAGCTGTCCTCCATCTCACAGAGATCTACCTGCCTCAATCCTCCTCCCCAGGATTAAAGGTGTGGACTACCATGCTTGGCTCTAAGTTCCTACTTCTGTGTTTGATTTTATAGCTACTATATGTAAATATTAATCATACATAATTTAAGAGTAACTTTCTCAAGTGAGATGATTTAAATAAATTTGTTAAAGTTTTTAATGTTAAAGGCCACATCACAAAATGTTATTTTGGAGGCATTGTGACCACAACATATTTTCCCCAATTTCCTCTTTTGTAGGTAGTCATAGCCTACTGGTATCGCACATTCATGGGCATAATGGACTTACTTGGAATAGAAACTAAGACCTGCTGGAACGTCACCAGGATGGAGCCTCTCAATGAGGTTCAGAGCTGTGAAGGCATGTTTCCTCCCTAGGACTGCCCCATGTCACTGTTACTTCTGTTTTCATAGACAGCTTGTCACTCCTCTTGAGACTTACTGTACAGTACTATGACTTATTTTTTCCTTAAGATCCCATAGAAATGACTCACCTCAATGGGTTTAACACTTTAAAGCTTTCTGAGAAAGCTATGTAGTTAATAATTTTAATGTAAATTGGGAATTTAACTTGAATAACACTTCCCAGTGTAAGACACTCAAGTGAAAGTCTTCCATTTCAGAATTAGATAGCACAAAACCTATTTTGGGTGATGTCAGTATTTAAATTTGAGGATAAACAGTCAAATGTATGCTTGTAATAGTTAATAATGTATGCAGATACAGCAACTAGTAGAATATTGCTTTATTCTTGTTCGGAGTACATGAAGAATTTCAATGAAAGTTTTGATATATGTTCTACATTGGTGTTTTTGTCAAAGACCCTCTTTTTGAATTATCTAACAATTCTCCAGAACCTGTGATAATCACTTCTATTTATAGTTCAGTATCCTCCTGGCCCCGAGACTTATGTTCAGAGCCACATATAACCACTTGTGTAATATTTATACAGTTTTTATTCCTATATCTTCAGATTCTCCACAACATAGAAACTTACTATATTTTATATATTCTACAGTTTTGTTTAAAACCATTTATTTTTTGAGGGGGGTCTTTTTGAGACAGGGTCTCTCCCTATAGCCCCATATGACCTGAAACTCACTGTGTAGACGAAGCAGGCCTTGAACTCACAGAGATCTGCCTGCCTCTGTCTCCCAGGTACTGGGATTAAAGGCATGCGCCACCATGCCCAGCCCATTTAACTCTTTAATTATAAGCAAAATGTATATTGCCCAGACATTTTTTGCCAAATCCCCTAAAAATCTAAAATAACATTAATAGCAGATGTTTAATAAGCAGTTGCACGTTTTTTTCTGCAAACTAAAGAAATAGAGAAAAAATTTCAGAAAACACAGGACTCTGTAATGTCTTAGTAATCAGGAAGGTATACGTTTTTCAGAGGGGTGTAAAGCATCACTTTGTGTAAAGACATGTGGTACATATTGAGCTCCCTGGAAGCAGCAGGCCAGTGTTTGGCATTTGAGGCACAATGAAGAACTACAGACACTGGTCCTTACCCTATAAGCAGGTCAGCAGTTATAAATGTGCTAAATATCATAATTCAGAAGCAAGAGGGAACAGAAACTGGATTTCCTAAAGCAGAGAGATAGAAAAGAAAATTGGTAGGAAATGATGCTGGGAAAGTAAGCAAGAGTCAGACCATGGTGGACCACATGCTGGTTTGGGATTTGCACCTTACCTAATTGAGGAACCATAACAGATTCACATGTTAAAACATCATTTTGCCAAATGCATGAAAAGCACATTGGTAAGGAATGGGGTGGGGGAGCGGGTTCCATGAGGTCACCTAGAGGACCGATTTGCTTTCATTTTGGAAGTAGAATGTTTGGGATAGAGGAAGGAGAGCAAAGAGTTATGTAACTGGTTTCTAGCTTGAGTAATTGACTCCCTTTGGAGTGGCAGGAAAGATGAAAACCAGAAGGTTTGCTCCATCTCGTGGGTGTGCCAGCTTGAGGTGTATGAAAGACCTCAAACTGCACATGCCAAGTAGGTACATGGCTATAGAGGATTAGAAATAAGAAAATGTTCTGGGCTGAATGTCAACTTGCAACCGTTTCTATGGGTGATTGTTGGAGCTATGAAAGTGGAAGAATTGTATTCAGGCCGAGGAAAAAAAGCATGTTATAGAGGCCAAATGGTCCAGTAGTGAAAAGGTTAGTAGGCCAGACTGAAAGGAGCAGCCAGAGTAAATGGGGTCACAGGGCCAGACTGCAAGTCCTAGTTCCAACCAGGTGGAGCAAAGTGTTTTGGAAAATTGCTAAGTTTTCTATTATTCTGTTTTCTAAACCATAAAAAAAATCTTCCTACCAATAAATCTCAAACATTTTTGCTTGGAAATTAAATGAAATGATAGTTATAAAACACACAGACAGTTGCACACATGAACACAATAGTATATACCAGATTCATTAATGTTCTGTGTATATATCATAACAGATGAAATGACTGGATCATCTCAAAGAGACCAGCACTGTCCTGAGAGCCTAGCAAAAGACAAAAGCACACAATGACTTTTCTCAGGGAATTCAAGTGGCTCTACAGAATGTTCCAGACAGTGAGAAATAATAACAGTATCACCTAAATTAATGTGAAGCCCCAACATCACTACAATATAAAAATACTGCACAAGGGGCAAGTACAAATGCAACTAAATAGATATTATAAGGGTGGCGGTTGGGACTCAGTAGCAGAGCACTTGCCTGTGTGTGTGGCCCTGGCTTTGTTTGTTCCGTGTATTGCAACCAAACCAAAGCAAAGCAACACAGACTCTGTGAGGTAAAGATAATTATACCATTAAAAAGAAAAAGCAGGAAAGCAGATGCAAAGCACTGAAACAGTTATGCTCAATTGTTTTATTGTCATTTTTTTTCATTAAATACTAACTAATCTGTGTCCTTTTTAAAGGATTGGGAGACCCAGCTTGCTTTTATGTTGGTGTGATTTTTACTTTAAATGGATTAATGATGGGATTGTTCTTCTTATATGGTGCATACTTGAGGTAAGACAACTAAACTGAAAGATCTGACAGTGAACTTGTAAGGACTGCTGGTATTTATTGGGTAGATGAAAAGGAAGCTTAACGAGGTTAATTGACTTGCAGTGGGAAATCTGATAGAATCATTTGATTTTTCATATGCTTAATCAATATCATGCAATCATAAATATGCTTCCCCTAGAAGAACCTCTCACAGGCCTCCATTTTGTCCTTTTGGAAATTTTTCTATATTATTTATTTAATAAACATAATTAGAAGAAACATTTCATTACAACAGCATTGACACATTCAATAACAATTTCCAGAGATAAGATACATCTCTTTCAAAATTGGCTGTAAATTTTTAGGTTTACAGTTGAATTAATAGAGTTATACAATATTGAACTCAGTATAAACCCTATAAGACATAAAATTGAATGATATTTTACCCTTTAAAAAATATCTCCATTTCATTTTAAAATATGCTGTTTCATACAGAAAAACTCATTCTTAATGCAACTAACACTCAGATGTTTGCACATGAGTCTCTAATCTCTATATATCTTATTATTACTAGTCACAGTCAATTA